ACCAGTGGCGCCCTCCAACCACCCGCGAGTCTTTCCTTGTTACGTGTACTCTAAAAATAGCTTGAAAGCGACACGGCATGGTTTTGGATACGAACTCACAGCCTTAGCAAACTACAGAAGGATTCATGGAATCTCTTTGAATTTTTCCAGATCTCTGAATTGCGACAACAGCTGTACTGTATTTCAGTAGGAACAAGTTACTCAGGAAAAAAGTAGATCTAGATACGGTTGTGTATCGCTGGGAACAGGTTATAGAGGCAAGAAATAGAAGGAGAAGACAACGCTAGACAACACTACAGGGGCTACTTTTCAATCAACTACAGTCTTTAGTATTGGTTTTAGTTTTAGGTTTAGAAAGAGTTTTACGGCACTTGCAACACAATTATGTCATAGAAGTGCACCAGATCACAGGTGTTACCAGAAAGTAACGTACTCATAAACGGAGGAGAGATCAGGGCGATAGATGTTTGATAGGAAAGAAAGAGCAAACCACACCAGACCACCCGCCAACTACCCACTCAACTGGTCTAAGGAAGGGAGAAAAAAAGGGGGAGGGGAGGGGAGGGAGGAGGTATAGCGTGCAAGCTCACAGCACAAGAGAATTCTCCACTCGATGACATCGCGCGCCTTGGCAAAAAATTCATATCGAGACGTCAGCACGTAAAACGATGTCAGGCCAGGAATGTGAGCTCAGGTGAGTCCAGACACATTACATCGATACCTATGCAATCAGATATCAAATGTATGCGGTACGCAACAGAGAAATGTATAGTACCACGAGGGAATGTGTATAACATCATTTCGACCCTGAAAAGGGGGATACTATATAGATGAAATTAAAACTGTTTACGAGGGACAAACCACTAAAAAAAATCATTGTAAATATTTAAAAAACCAAACAAACAAAACAACAACAACAAACAACCTAAGTCTCGAATACTTGCCCGACATATTTAATGCACACCTTATATAATTATTTTATTACTCAATACCAATTTCATTATACTAAACCAGTTTCGAAGCCAACGAAATTAAAAAAACAAAACAAAAAAAACAGGCGCAAATTTCCACTGCCTCCCGAAAACATCGACTGTATCTCTCCACTCCCCACAAGGGTGAGGTGTTTTATGAGCGCGAAGATAGGCTCCTTCTTCAGCTCCGGCTTTAGGGAATCTCGTCTGATCCCAAAACTCGCGCGGGACGACCAAAACGAGGGATTTGAAGGGGGGTAAAAGCTGGGTCTTTCCGTTTAGAGGGAGTCTGAGAGTGTTTGTTAGCGTCATATTTTACGTGATATGTCGGGGCCAATCTTCTTTTGATAATCTTAATGAGAGACTTGAGCTGTGCAGAGTGGAAATAAAGACACTACTATCGATGGTGAGGGACCCGTGGGTACTGAGGGAGTATTCAGAAGACTTGACGTGTTGATTTGTTCATTGTCTCCTTGTCTCTCCTCAAATCGACACGGTTAGTAACGGATGATAATGATAGGACATCAAGGAATACGGTACAATAATGGGGATTAACGCGGCTACCCCTCACCTTCTTCTTTCTCCTTGACCCCTGTCTGTATGTCTGTGTGTCTGTCTGTCTGTGTTTCTGTCTGTGTGTCTGTCTGTCTGTCTGTGTTTCTGTCTGTGTGTCTGGTGTCTGTCTGTCTGTTGTTCTGTATGTCATAAACACACACACACACACGTACACACACACACTCACACACAC